TATATATATATATATATATATATATATATATATATATACACACACACACACACACACACACACACACACACACACCAAGTTTTGGAGGTTGAAAGGGTCATAAAATCTAAGGATAATGTAAGCAACTTAAACGTTCAACAATCAATTAATTCATGAAGATAATTGTCACACCACTGAATCTGATGTATTTTCAGTTTAGTCCATTAACTGTTTTACTTTGATGCAGCATTGGAATAATTTCCTTTGACTTCTATTCATTACCCCATTTATGCGCTCCAGAATTCTGCATTTTTAATGTCTGTTAAAGAATTGTGACTGTATTATCCTTCACTTTTTCTCTGCTTCTTCTCCTGCTTAGTGGTGTGCAGTGAATGAATAGTGGGGGTGTATCGCTCTCCAAATTATTTGCCTAAAACCTAGTTATGTTACATTTCTGCCCAGTTTATTGCAGAGGTTACTTGCTTGCTGATGCTCCTGCTCTGGTATTGCCCTCTTCCTTTACATTGTGTGGAAGCAGGGGAAGAAAGAGAGGGTTTAACTGAGAGTGGAGTTTGTTTCTTCCACAATATATTATTCCACAAAATAAATGATTGTACTCAAATGTTATCACCCTACTTTATATTCCTTCTTCCAAATCACTGAATATATAGAGTGTCCCAAATCAGTCTGAATACTGATAATTAAGAGCTCTATAAGGGGCTCACTATTCTAAATAGCTTTCTATTAATGATGCCCAAGCCAGTTGTTTGTTCAGACAATGTCATCCACCAATTTTATGGATATGAATCTTGATTGGCTCCTATAGGTGCCAGTTGGCTTTAGAATTAAAGGGGGAGTGCATACAGGGGAAGGCCCATATCCCCTTGGGTGCTCCGCTGCTCATCGGCCAATGAGGGAGATGTAAGGTGACTGGTTCTTGCTTCCCACAATCATTTACTTAAGCCCCAGTACAGGTCTCTTGCCCCATGTTTAGCTAAACTCACCCACCCGCCCTCCTGATAGTTATATAATATAGGAACTGTGTTTTTATGTTGCTTTGGGTCTGACTAATTGCCTGTTTAAAAGTTCAGGAAGGAATTTTTCCCATTGGGTCCAAATTGGCTATGGCCTAGTGGAGTTTTTTGCCTGCCTCATAGTAACGGGAAGGCACATTCAGGTTAAATAGGTATAGGATTTAGGAATTTCATTTGAGGAAAGTTGTGAATGTTAGTTCATCGCAACTTGAAGCCGGTGTCTGGTGTGGACAGAAGGCCAAAGGGCCAGTGACCAGAAGAGCTAAAAGCCTTTTGCTGGTGGACCCCAGGTCTATGGGCAAGAGGGAGACTAGATTTGAGTTTGCAAATGGCAGTGGTACATAAGTCTGTGCAGACCCTCTTTGGTACCCTCTGTCCCCTTTGTAGGAAAGTGGGGGAAGATGAGAAGGTTCAGCAAAGCCAGCTGAATTCTTGGGGTAGGCAGTGGAGAGTCTGCTCTGAGTTATGGATTATATAAGAGGAGCTATGTAAACCCCTCACTGAACCCACATATATGTCCGTTATTGGGAGATGTGTGACAAGGTTGGTGAAAGATTAACATTGGAGAAGAGCACTAACAAAGTTGCAACCTGCTGCCTAAAAACAATTGCTGTGTCTGGCCTCATTCATTTGTGTATCCTGATCAAGTAGCTCTACCATCTACCACATTCAGTGACCTTAAAATGGAAACACAGCACTGCACAAAAGACTATCAGGAGTTTTCCAGTTAAATTTTCATCAAGGCTGCCTCCTCTAAACTGTTTAGTGTTGTAATGATTTGCACTTAAATTTGCTCAAAGAGCTTTACAAACACTAGTAAATTTACCTCCCTGCTCTCTTCTTAGCTGGGAAAGTATTAATTCCACTTCTTTATCAATGGGGAAATTGCGGCACAGGGCAGTAAATAGACTTCAAAAAGTCATAGAGGAAGGTCTCCTGATTCTATTATCTGATCTATCCACAAGAACATCCTTCTTCTAATGTGATAGACCTTATCTTTGTTTTATAAATGTGTGCAGGCTATTCATTCTTATAGTACTGCTCTGGACGCACAAGCTTATGTTTTTCAAGGCATCACAATCCATCCATCAAAACTGCATTAGTGATTTTTCACATTTAAAATTTTACATATGTTCAATTTTGTTTTAAAATTCTTATTTCCATAAAAAACTCAGATTTGAGTTTGCAAATGGCAGTTGTTCATAAATTGGGTAGTTAGGCAGCTACCTGATTCTCATGTATAAATGCAGCTTGTGTGCAAAAGGGCAAATGTTTGTGTATGCAAGAACTTAGATATGAAAAATTGCACATGCAGAATCTTAAATATAAAAAATTACTGGCAAAATTTTAGAAGCTGCTTTTAAAATATTTAGCCACCACCAGGGCCGGCTCCAGGCACCAGCTTACCCAGCAGGTGCTTGGGGCGGCCACTTCGGAGAGGGGCGGCATGTCCAGCTGTTCGGCGGCAATTCGGCGGACTGTCCCTCACTCCTGCTCGGAGCAAAGGACCTCCCGCCGAATTGCCGCCACAGATTACGATCGCGATCGCGGCTTTTTTTTTTTGTTTGGCTGCTTGGGGCAGCCAAAACCCTGGAGCCGGCCCTGGCCACCACAGTCCAAAGCTAGTTTATGAATAGCTGGTTAGGCCCATTTTAAGATGTCCTATCAGTCTTGAAATCCCATGTGAGACATGTACATATATATAAAAACTTAGCTGGGGAGAGGAAACAGAATTTGGAAGGGCCTCTCTGAAATGGACCTAGATTAATGAATAATATTGACCAGATTCAAAGGGGAATCTAAGCTACTGTAATTTATACCTTCTTCTATCCTACCACCGTGTGTGTGTGTGTGGTAGGGGGGGGTACTTTAATTTATATCTGCGTATTAGTTGTTTTTCCTTCTAAACAATTTTTTTTTACTCCTTAGCCTGTCAGCTACAATACCCTAGACTCTTTTAGATTCAGTAAGCCAAATGCAGAAGTGATGTGAAAGGGAGTGTAAGTTCTATATTTGGACATGGGTGTGCTCTCAGTGAGTCCGCTGCTCAACTGGTATAATTTATATACTGAAGAAAGTATGAATTACACCAGAGTAGGGTCCCAGGCTTAGATTCACTTAAACCCACCTCTGAATTTGTCCCTATAACAACATTTTGTATGTTCCTAAGGAAACAGCTTTATCAGGAAGATTTTCATATTAAATAAATGTTAGTATCAGTTATATTTCAGGTTGTCTCTTGTATATCCTTAAAATCTTTAGAGATAATTCATCGATAACTAAGAACAGCTTCTGGGCACAGGGACACAGGATTCTCAGGAGACTCACATAGTCATACTTGTGACAGGAGAGAGAGAAGTTTTCAACCGTATTTTAGAGGCAATATGCATTCTACTACATGTTTCCTGGGCTAATTAACAGACCTCTTTTATAATGAGCAGTGTCGCTTTTAAATATCAAGGGCAACATTTTCAAAAACATCTAAGTGATTTAGAAGCATAAATCCCACCATGTGAGATTAAGTGGTGCATCATGGAAGATATCCTCCAACCAGGAAGCCCAGTCTATAAAGGAGAATGAGAGCATGAGGTACCCAAACTACACCTCCTATCGGGCACTGCGGTGCTATTTTTAAATTGAAATGTTTAGGTTTTCAGGAATTCCACATTTTGATGAAATATCAGAGTTTTCTACGGAGAACAGAATTTTTTTGCAAAAAAACATTTAGTCAAAAATCCAATTCTCCACTGAAAAATAGTTTTGACAGAAAATTTGTGACCAGCCTTAGCCTGTAGGTACTACTGTGATAGTAAGTATTAATAACAATAAGTTTATATCCAATCCAGAACTTCCCCAAAATTCACGATGGTCTGAATTGAGAATTTTGCATTGCCCAATTAAAGAGAGAGAGTGTTCACCAAGAAGGCCAGACCCTCAAAATTCCAGGGAATTTTGTTCTGATCTGGGATTCTGTTTTGAGCCTCTCTCTAATTTCAACAAGTTTGTTATCTGTGTTGAGCCCAGTCTTGCATGTCTTACCTATAAATAATGTTGTGACTTCCGTAGGAGTTCTGCTTTTGTCAAGGACTAAATGATTGGATCAGTACATTAACTTTAAAAGGAGGCTTCACTGCAGTAGTCTCGGCAGTAGTCTTTCATGTTCAATTATATGGTATGCATAAAGTTCTGCCCTCGGATCTGGCATGTAATGCTCATGGAAATTATGAAAGTCAATGGGAGCTGACATGCTGAGAATTGAGGGCATGTTTAAGTTCACAATTTTTTATTCTGTTACCATATTGGAATGATTATTATAATTTGAGGCCTTTAGCTATGTAGTGTTAATATTGTGATATATTATGCTGTGGAAAGCAGAAACTTTTTTTTAATATGACCCCATTCTTTATATTTTTCTGTTTTAATGAGTCTTTTTAATTGCTTCCTAAAATAAATGTGGTTTTTAAAAATAAAACGTATTAGTAATAATTTCTGAGCAGATATCTCTTTATTAGTGCACCTCCCAAGGATATTCTGGGGCTGAAGTGATAGTAAAAGTAACTTCAATCCAACTTGTGTAGTCTTCAAGAATAGTTGGAACAGGACCTAAAACAGCAGAACCCTTCTTTAGGCATAACAATAGTAACTTGTAGTTATTTTCTGTAATGTCTCTTTCAAAGATAAAGCAGATCAGTGTGTGAACATACTTATGATCAACTATCAGCATTTTCAAAACAAGTAACCATTCAAACTGGGTCTAAATCTATTGCATTGTTCAGAAAGCATTAAAAAAAGACTAATATGGGTCTGACCAGAGCAATTTTTCCTAATTTATTGTACCTACCTGAGGAGCAAGTTTAATTCCATGTGGTTTTAAAGCGATATGGTTCATTGGGGTAAGCTCCATTCCAGGCAAAAGATCGTAGAGTTTGTCTTCACCCCTCTTTTCTCCTTTAACCTGGTATCCACGACCCAGGCCAGTGTAAGCCAAGTATCCACGTCCTCCTAGTCCTCTAACTCCCGCAGCCCCTACAGGTACATTCATGTAAATTTCTAGGAATGTAAGAAGCATTAAACTGAATCAAATCACCGGAAAATCACCCTGATTCTTACTGTAATGGAAAAGTTAGCCCCATTCACTGATTTCTGATAAGAAGATGGGTAGGAACACTGACTGACTGAGAACTGCTGCAGATTCATACCATACTATTCACCATGAAGTAGAACTCACAAGGGGAAGGTTCTTTATTACCTTTGGAGGAAAATACAATAATACCATGAATATAGAGCTAGTATCTACACAACTGTATCATTCTGGCTTTTATAATACTTCTTGGGGGGTTTATTTATGTTTAGTGCCTGTAATTTCAGGCTGCAAGCTACGAGCAGCATAGTTTCCTTAGAAAATTCATTGCAGATTAGAAGATATGGTGAACCAGGAAACTCTAATCGATTACAGTATATAACTAATTATTCCTATGGTATCACTTCTCTATTGGATTATTAATAATTTAATCAATATAAACCAGATCTCTACCCCATCATCTTTTAAATTGTTTTCCTAATGTGCCTTGAGATGCTTTAGTTAGAAGGAATGTCATAGTTGTTTCTGACTGACTTTCCCATCTTCTCTGCTCTGTTCAGTCAACATGAGGCTTAACTTTCCATTGAATTCATGCACAGATTACTTTTGATTTTTTGCCATGTTTCTAACCTGATTTACAGTTGAAGAGTAAAGGGACAGTGAAAAATTAGATTGATTACTGCCCATTGATATAATTTAAGATTTTTAATGAACTTGGAATACATAGATTTCCCCCCCTTCTTTGAACTAATGACCATTTTCTCACATTACAACTGGTTCCTTTCAGAAGGATTGTTTGGGAATTTAGGAGATTAACAAGTGAGAGCATACTAAGGAAAAGTGAACTGAGTGATTTGGGAGTTTTGACACATTTTCCTAATGTAATTTTAGATTTATATATGCACAGTAAAGCTAAAGCATGGGAAGCAGCAGTGCAAATTTCCCAAACCATACCATCGAGTCAATGTGTCTTGATTTTTCTCTGAAGGGATCATTTATAGGGGGTTAGAGATTAGGTTAGTTAATTCAGTCTTAATCAACTCTACTGAGGACTTCAGACTGAGAACTGTGTTCTTTAGGACATCTTTCTATCTGGAAATGGGTTGAGAACACCATCTGATTTCACTTAGGACATCAATCTGCTGTCAGTTGTTAATGATCTCAGTCACTAATAGAAATGAGTGAGAAGATCTGGATTTTGAACACCCCAAAATTTAATTAAGCCCATTATAAAGTAAGTGGGCATATGTAACATTCACACCTTAGTTTTGGAAATGTTTTGGACCTAAGGTTTCATTCAGGCTCCTCTCTAGTCACTGCAAATTTGCACCAGTAATTTCAAAATTAAGTTTACCAATCCCTTATACTATCCATTCCGACAGGAAACAAAACACAAAACAAAACAAAAACTCTGCTAAGAAGCATGACCTTTTATCATGTTAAATAGTTAATGTTTTGCAGGGCCGGCTCTGGCTTTCTGGCCGCCCCAAGCGAAAAACAAAACAAAACCGTGGCGGCCAGAACAGCAAACCAAAAAAAAAAAAAAAA